TGCAATATATCCTTGTACTGGTCAAACCATTGTTCCTAGTCCATGTACAGGTTCAGCATGAGCACAGTTAAGTGTTCTGGGATTCCCACTCTTCTCCATGTCAACCACAATTTATTATAATAGGCATGGTCAAATGCCTTTGCGTAATTAGAAAACACACACACACACACACACAAGAGATTTTAAAATCCATTTTTATGGCATAGATGAATAGGGATATTCATAGATGGTTATACATAAATGAGTATGGGGTGTTGGGGTGGGTAGATTCAGTAAGAGGGGAATGGATGGATGAATGAATGGGTGAACACATCAATGGGCTGATAAATGAATGGATGGTGCAGATGGATGACGGGCAATGGGGTAGGAGGAGGAGTGAATATTGGGGTGAAGGAATTGGTAGAGAAGTGGGCGGATGTTTGGGGGTAAATAGATGGAAGGATGGGTTAGTGAGTGGACGGATGGGTGGGTGGGTGGATGATGATGGATGGATGGTTGATGGGTAGGATGATGAATGGTGCTATTGTAGATAAGTGGTGGAGTGAATGGATGAGTAGCTGACTATGCACATGGGAGCCTCTATCCTTGGGTGGCCTGATGCAGTACCAACGAGCACAGCCTTGTGAGTCAGGAAACCTGAGTGTGAGTCTTTTGTCTTCTTTCGTGAGGGAGCTCTGGTGGCCTGGTTCTAAGAAATTGCACTGTAATTCCAAAGGCATGCAATTGAAATCCACCATTTACTCCACCGGAGAAAGATGGGTAGTCCCCGTGCATGTAATTTACTGCCTGTGAAAACCCACTGGAGGGCCAGTCAGCTGGGTCAGTTTCAACTTGATGGTACACAACAGCATTTTCCATGGTTTATTATATTATCTTGGGAGATCCTTTTTGTGTACTGAGTTGCTAAGAAAATGAAGTGAAAAAAATCTGGGAATTCAGGCAACAGACCTCATTCAACCCCAGCTCCACCATTTACTAGCCCTGTAAAAGTGGAACCTCATGTATTCCATCACCTGCCTGGGAATCTTCCCCTTGAAGGGCTCTATTCAGTGTTTGATGAGGTTCTTAGCCTGACACCTGGTAGATGCTAAACAAACGTCAGTTTCCTTTCTCTCATCCTCATTCTTCTTTGTTTCCCTCACTCCTCCCTCCACTCATCTCAAACACTGCCTTCTCATCTTGTAACTCTGAGCACCCTCTCACAGCCCACCCCATCTCACCACGCCTCACGGACCCCACAAGCCAGTGTTACGCTGAGAGGGGATACACTCAGGGATTTACATTTAGGGTCCCTATGGGACATCCACACGCTTTATAAGCTGAGGGACTGTATGAGCGATCATGTCTAGATGCTCTGTGATGATGGAGACAGTTGTAAACTGTAGGGACTGTATGTGTTGCTCATTTATAGGCACTCTGTCATAATGGCGTGGATGCATCTACTTGCAACAAAGGTTTGCCATCAGCCACCAGAAACTAGGAGAGAGGCCCACAGAAGGAACTGAGAAGTCAAGACCTTAATTCAGACATTTAGATTCTAGAACTGTGAAGAAATATATCGCTATTCTTTAAAGTTACTCACTTGTAGTATCTGTGCTGCAGAGACCCTAGAAAAACCACAGGTAGGTTCTCCTAAGAAGGAGGTGGGATAAGATTGAAGGGGGAAGCATGGCTGCATTTAAATACTCGAAGAGAGATGGCAATCAGAGCAGGAAGATGGGCAGCCAGACAGCGGCAGGAAGAAAGGCAGCTGGTTTGAATTTTGCTCTTGTTTTATCAGCTTTTCCAATGACAACATGCATTCCTAGTACCCTTCACTTAGGTTGGCATCACACAGCTCAAGGAGAACAAGGAAAAAGAACCAGCCTGGGAGTGAAGGGGATCCCTGCGAGCTGTGCAGATTAAAAGGTTCAAGTCCAATGTATGATGCCTCGGAAGAAAGGTCTGGGGAGCTGCTTCAAAAAAAAAAAAATCAGCTGTGGCGAACTGTATGGAGTACAGTTAGTTCTACTCTGATGTACATGGGGTCCCGTGAGATGGAATGGGCTGGTTTGGGCTGTCAGGAAGTCCAAGTCTTTGATGACTGTCTCTGAACTGGAATAAGTGTCACTCTATCTCATGCCTCAGTGGCCCAGTCTGCAGGCTTGGGGAGGGGCTGAGCAGGCCTCAGTGGTCCAGTCTGCAGGCTTGGTTAGGCTTTCTCTCATCAATCTCTCTCTAAAGTTTATTTTCCACAAAGCAGTTGGAGGGAGGTCCCAGCTTGGGGTCAAGTCAGAGCTGCCCCATCATCTGTGTGGACTTGTCAAAGGAAAGACTTGTTTGTCTTTTAATAAAGTGTGATTGCAAACAGGCGGTGGTGGCCGCGGGCCCTGTCCGGCACTCTGTAGACACACATCTGTGCTTGTGTCTTGTTGGGAGACTTGGCTTAACAGCAAAGGGGCTTGGAAGAAAACATAGGGCCCAGAGGGCTTCAGCCTCCTTCCAGCCTTTCTCTCCTGCTGCCGTCCCTGGAGGGATAGGGGGTCAAGTCGGTGGCGTACTGACTGGAGTCCAGGGAGCTGAAAGCCAAATGTGTTTTCTTTGCCATGTGGAGCCATTTCTGAAAACTCTTTGCAACCCTGATTTACCAGCCATTAAGATGTTAGCATTTATCTGCTAAAAGAGTCAATGTTTATGGCTCAAAGCTCAAGCCTTTTCAGCTCCTTTTTGACTCAGTAGCCTCCTTTGAGCCAGCTGGGGGCCTCAGGGCAAGTTACTTAACCTCTCTGAGCTTTGATTTCCTTACATATAAAGGAGCTATACAGTCTCTGGGTGGCATCAATAGTTACAGACCGGAGCAGTGACTGAAAGGAGGCAGCTTGAAGCCATGCAGACGTATCTCAGGAGACGGCCCTGGTGATCTGGTTCCGAGAGGTCTCAGCCTTGAAAATTCCATGGGGCAGTTGGCTCTGCACACATGGGGTCACAGGAGCTCCTATGAGGTCACAGAGAGTCCCATGAGTCATAGGAGGCCACAGGAGGTCCTATGAAGACGCCATTTAATCAAAGTCAGCTCATTAACAACCAACGACAAAGTAAGTGTCCAAACCTCAGAGTTGCTGGGGCAACTAAATAAGAGAGCACATGTCCAGTGCCAAGTACAGAAAGGGCTAGATAAATGCAGGCAATCATTATAGTTCAAAACAATCCCAATAAGTAGACAGAAGCGAGTCGCTGGAGCCAGACAGGGCTTAACTCAGATCTTAACTTCATCTCCTCCCTCCTCTGAGCCTCAGTTTCTTCATCTGTACAGTGACACTTACTACCTCAGGAAGTTGGATGAGGAGGGCATGGTCCGTGGCTGCAAACACCAGGCGATCAATACCTGTGATGCCAGCCTCCTTGCACCACCCTTCCCCTCCTCCCTCCCCCCACACACCCTGCTGCATCTCAGGTTCTCAGTTCAAGGAGTCAGCTCCAAACTCAAAGTCAAGTTCTCAGACACACTTCTTCCAGCAAGATGCTCTGGGATTTCTTCCTCCAGATGCATTTCTCCAGGGAGACTTTGAAGAAGTTGAGGGGCATCTCTCACTCCATCGCTCTGAATATTTTCTTCTGGGCAGCCTCAGCTGGATTAGAGAAAAAGTGGCAGGAATTGTGAGGCGCAAGGGCACAAAGTAAGCCACAATCCAGCCACTGGGTTGAAAGTTCAAACTGAGACACAGAGCTGTCAGCAAAACAGCCGTGACCTGAACCACTGCCTCCAGGGAGAGTTCTAGGGTGGGCTGCTTCATGCCACATCTTTTTAAGATCTCCAGGTCTTCATTGCCTAAGGGTCCCAACCGCTCAGGGGCTTCCCAGCTCATCCAGGATGCTGAGGGTTGATGCGCTGACCTGCCCACCACCTTCTCCCAGGTAATAACGTAAGTGCTTCGAGAGAGACCTTGACCTTAACCCAAAGTGATGAGATTTTTGTTGGTTTGTTGTTTACTAACTGACTGTTAATGTAGGAGGGATCTCTGGTGGCCTGGTGGGCAAGGAGCTGCGCTGCCAACCCAAAGGCAGGCGGTTGGTTGGACTCCACCAGCTGCTCAGTGGGAGAAAGACAGACAAGGTCCTCTGGAAACCCACTGGAGGGTGAGTCTGAGTCGGTTCTGACTCCTCAGCAATGAGGTTTTGAGTTTTGGTTAGGAGGGAGCCCTGCTGGCATGATCCGTAGGGATTGGATCGTGGGCTGCTGACCCAAAAAGGCAGCACCTCACTGGCAGTTCAAATACACCAGCGGGCTCCTTGGAACAAAAGATGAGGTTTGCAGCCTCAGCTACCCTATGGAGGAACAGCTGCGAGTTGTTTCTGACTCAATAGCAATAAGAGAGTATATTGACATAGGTGTATGGAGGTAAGAGAGTCCCTTAGTAGGGCAAACAACTCCCGTTCTTGGCGGCTAACCAAAACCCTGGCTGGAATCCACCCTCAGGTGCCTAAGAAGAAAGGCCTGGCAATCAACGTCTGAAAAATCAGCCCTGGATGGACACTGTGGGGCACACAGTTCCACTGCAATGACCTGGCTTAGACTGGATGGCAGCTGGGCTTTTTAAGTGGTGGTGATTGTTTGGGGGTTTGTTTATGGAGCAAGAGGTCATCATCACTCAGCTAACACCAAACACAGGGTGTGTGAAATGTGTCACCCCGGAGAGCACACAGTAGGTGGTTTAGCCCCACTGTCTTAGATCAACACCAGTTCATGGTGGTATTTTTGAGAATTCTTCCTTCATCCCCCCTTGACTTGTCAAGCTTGGTCCTATATAAGAAGCACGGGTTGTTGGTCCAAAGCTGGGAGCCACTTGACATACTTGCTCATAGAAGAGTTTCAAGCACTGGATTTTCTATTCAAAACATTGTTCTCGCTCATGCAAAATACAGTGGGCACCACTGGCTGAAGACGTCTTAACCTTGGTTTTCAGGTGTTTGTCTTTGGTCTCTGCATTGACATTGTCCGCTGAGGGCTTCCAAGCGCCAGCTCAAAGCACGCTGGTCTCTCGCTCATGCGTGGAGCCCTTTTCATGCATCGATGGCGTCTTGGTAAAGCTCCGGTGGCTGGGGAAGGAGGAATGACCTGTGTCCTCGCTCAGAGCATTGGCCAGGCGGGAGAAGAGGGCCACCTTGAACTTCTTAAAGTCCTGACCCATGAACACATACAGAATGGGGTTCATGCAGCTGTTGGCAATGGCAAGGGCGGTGGCAAAGGGCAAGACCAGGCTGAAGACGGTGCCAGGCACCTTGGTGTGGTGGAGCTCCAGGAGATAGAGCGTGTGGTAGGGGCACCAGCAGAGGAAGAAGGTGATGATGATGGTGACGATGATTTTGAAGGGTTTCTTGGTCTTGGCCAGGCGGTTGCGCTGCAGTTTGCAGACGATGGTGAGGTAACAGGCTGTGATGATGAGGACAGGGATCAAGAAGCCACAGAGGAAGCGGGTGATGGTCACCACCACGTGCCGAGTGTACGCGGTGGAGTCCGGTTCCCCATGAGCAGATGGTGAGGCTGCTGACAGGCTGAAGTTATTGAAGCAGGAGATCTTCCCGTGATGATTGGTCGTGTCCCGGAAGACGAGGGACGGAGAGCTCAGGAAGAAGGCCAAGACCCAGATCACCGTGCACGCCATGTAGGCCAGCCTGACCCCGCGGTGGTTCTGGGACCAGACCGGGAGCAGCACGGCCACACAGCGGTCGCAGCTGATGACGGTCAGCAGGAAGACGCTGGTGTACATGTTGTGGATGAGCAGGAAGTTACTGAGCTTGCACATGGCCTTCCCGAACACCCAGTGGTAGTCCATGGCGGCGTAGGCGATGTGGAAGGGCAGGAAGACGTTGAACAGGAAGTCGGCCACGGCCAGGTGGAGGAACCACACGGTGTTCACGGTCCTCTTCATCTTGAACGTGGTGATGACAATGACCAGGCCGTTGCCCAGGATCCCGAGGAAGCAGACGACGCTGTACACCACCACCAGGAAGGTCCTGGCCACTGTGACTTCCCGGTGGGGGGACACCTCTTCCAAGACGACAATGGAGGCTGTGTCCTCGAGGTACTCATCGTAATAGCTGAGGGAGATGTTGTAATCCTCCTCCTCCATTTCTCTGCAAGGGAAGACAGAGGATAGAGTTAGGGGAGCCAGGCCTCTGACCCTCCAGACCCCCTTCACTTCCACCCCACGCCCCAAGTCTGACAAAACAGTTCCAGACCACATGCTTCCACTTGATGATACCTCACTGTCGTCGCTCCAACTTCCCAGCTCACAAATGAATGTAATGTTATTGGTGCTGCTGTGTTCACTCCAGCTCACCAGAGCTGCCCCCTAACGTGGACTTGGGTTGTAATATTTACAGTTATTCCTCCCACAGAGTTATTGGCTGCATTCAAAACACCAACCTCTCAGGTAACAGCTGCGCACTTAACCACTGTGTCGGAAACTCAGCCCTGGACTCACATGAAGGAGCCCTCACAGTGTAGGATAACCTCACTAGGTTGCCAACAAAAAATAAGCTCTAGTTACATAGCACTGAGGCAGAAACAGCCCACTGGTGACTCTCCAGGGAGTTTTCAGAAGCAGTAAATCGCATGGCAGGAGATTGTCTATCTTTCTCCCACAGAGCAGCTGGTAGATTCGAACTGTTCACCTCTGGCTCAGTAGCACAGCTGCTTAGTCCTAAGACAAAACAGCAGTTCTAATTTACCAGGCACTCCAAGGTAGAAAGATGGTCAGTCTCATCCTATAAAGATTTACAGCCAAGGAAATCCAACAGAGGGTTGCTGTTGGGTTTTGCTTCCCAGAGAGAAAGTCCCTCAAGGCTGATATTCACAGTTGTTACTGTTGTTGTTGTTGCTATGTGCCTTTGAGTTGCTTGTGACTCATAGCAACCCTCTGCACAATAGCCCTGAACCCTGCTCTATCCTGTGCCCATTTTATGGTCTCTGACACACCTACCTTTATTACCCCAGTCACTGAATCAATACATCTCATCCAGGGTCTTCCTCTCTTACACTGCTCCTCCACCCTCCCAAGCATGACATTCCTCTCCAAAGACTGACTTCTCCTTGCAGCATGTCCAAAGTATGTCAGATGAAGCTTCAGAATCCTTGCCTCCAAGGAGCAGCCTGGTTTCACTCTCTCTGGGATTATCAACCTGTTTGTTCTCCTGGCAGTCCATGGTATATTCAATACTCTTCCCCAGCACCACAGCTCAAGGCATCAATTCTCCTTATCATCCTTAGGTCACTGTCCAGCTTTCTGATTCATAGCAAGTAATTGTGAAGACTATGGCCTGGATCAGGCGCACCTTAGTCTCCAGACTGACGTTGTTGCTCTTCAGTATTCTGGCAAAACCTGACCCATAGGCAGACCGAAATATATTGTTGTTTCTTATATGCTTTCAAGTCAGAACCAACTTATAGCTGACCCTCCAGTAGGTTTTTAGAGGCTGTAAGTCACACAGGAAGAGGCTGGCCATCATTCTTTAATGGAGCAAGATGTGAGTTCAAACCTCCTGCCTCTGAGTTGACAGCACAACTCCTTACCACTAGGTAACCAGATTCAGCTTCCGTTTATCAGGAAAGGAAAATTACTGCCTGGAGGAGCATACAGTAATGATCTGGTGACAGTCAAGAGGAGAGACAATTCATCTAAGGGTGTGTGGGGTGGGGAGTACCAACAAATCCCTTATACAAACAATCCCCAGAACATAGTTAAATTAATGATGACATGGGTTGATGGGGAACTGTTAACAAAACAAAATGTCTAGTTTAAGGGGAAAACAATTACCTGCTTCAATTAGTTTTGCAAGCAAGACTGAAAACAAGGGGAATAGTCAGCATGCATTCATTTCCAGAAGAAACCGGAAAAACAAGTCTAACACCTAGTTTAGCTCAAGTGTAGCCATTTGGGGGCATTTTTAGGATTTCTCATATAGTTCTTGTGAGTCAGACTTGATTCAATGGAAGTTGGTTTGGGGGAGCTGAATGGGCTTGAGGTTATAATTTATCACATAAGAGCCATCTTCTGTCTCTCCTAAAGGATAAAAGCCATGTTGAAAGTTTTCTTGAGTTCAAGGGGCTCAGAATTAAGTCTGAGTGTTGTCCCACTCTGTAAGCGGAAATTATATTCTAGAGGTGCCCAGAGAGGCCCCAGGGTATCTGTGGTACTGGCATGCAGACAGAAGATAGAAATACTAACTGAATGACACACGATGGGTGATGCAGATGGAAGATGGGAACACTAACTGATGAATGTCAATGACAAGAATAGGAGGTCCTCCTTCAACTCCTGTCTGTGAGTGGTTGTGCTAAATATTTAAAAACACAAACCAATTGCCCTTGCATCAGAACTGACTGACTCACAGCTGACTGTCCATTGGATGTCCGACGCTGTAAATTACCCAGGACATTGACCATCTTTCTCTTGAAAAGTGATTGGTGGATCCAGAATGCTACCTTCCAATGGGCAGCCCTGCTTCCTTGGGACTCTACCACCCGAGCTTCCTGGGCTCGGCACTAAGTGCATCTGCCCCTGGAAAGAGGTACGAGGAGGCTGAAGGTCACAAAGCCCCTTGCCCAAGATAGCCAGGCCAGGATGGAAGAGCCAGGATTTGAACTCAGGTCTCCTAGCCTGGACTCTAATCCATCACCACCTGCCCCATGATATGCCCCCAGGCTGGTCACCATGGTCACATACAGCCTGTAAGGCAAAGCGATCTGTCCAGGCTGTGCAGTGAATGCCTTTAACGGGTCCCAAACCAGTGAGTGCAACAGTCAACGACAAGACTAAGGCCAAGGTGAGCCCCCAGGAGGCCCTTAGGAGCCCAAAACTGCGTGTGTGTGTGTGTGTGTGTGTGTGTGTGTGTGTAGAACTTTGCTCAATGGCGTTCCCAGTGGCTGATTTTGGGGGGGAAGGGGACAGTAGATCTTTAAGCCTTTCTTCCTAGAGGCCTGTGCATAGACTCAAACCAGCAACCTTTCCACACTCCACTGAGCACTTAATTATTTAGACCACCTAGGAACCCTGGTGGCATTAAGTGTGCTGTAGCATTATGTGTTGTGCTGTTAACAGAAGGGTCATTGGTTAAAACCCACCAGCAGCTCTGCAGAAGAATGATGGGTGGTCTCCTTGCATACAGATACTGAGCCTTAGTTTGGCGCTTCCTCAAAAATGCTGAGTGAAATA